TTCTTTCAAACTCCAGTTGCTCAGGTGTTCCCCCCCCCCTAAATTGCAAATCTATATTCTTCTTTGTTGAGGGCCTCCCACTGGAAGCATATCTTGACCACCAATGCTTTCAGTGTTATGGTACCAGTCAAAGACTTGTCTCCTTGTCTGTGTATTTTATGGCATGTTAGCTGCCACCATTGGGAATTGATGTTTATTTTAACTAAGTTCCAGTCTGCCCTGGTACCATTTGCGTTAGTGTCACCAAGTGTGAGGGAAGAATAGGCAGATGGTGTCAATGCATGCCCTTTACTGTCTCCTCTAATTCCTCTTTAGCTTGGTTGCCTTCGTTCCAATCCAATAATGAGGATGATGGTACAGGTTCTCAATTGAGTTAACCTTGGCATTAATACTTCACATTATTAAATTTCAGCCTCATCATGCCAATAAATCAGTTATATGCGCACATCTAATTAACTATCCAATCAGTAAAAACAATGCTTCAAATTATTACAGTGTATTTCATCAGGGAATCCAGAAGCCATGTTGTGAATTTCAGCCATGTAGAGAGAGGGGCCTCTATCAGGTAGTTAAGGAATATTTGAGAGCCACAGATCAGCAGATGAGGGCATTATGACCATCTAATTTACCCCAAGGTAAAATATATCAGTGGTGGGGCTCTCAAGAGCTTTTCCAGAGGATATATATGGAGATTATTCCTTCATCTGATTCACTAACTGAAACACTAGGCATTTCCCGCAATTATTTTAATTGTGCATTTTCATAAATAGAACTACCCTTGTTCTCCATTACCTTGAATTGAAAAGACTGGTCTTGAAATCCTGTGGCCATCAGACTTAGAATTTTCGCTCGATAACTGTCTCAACCATTACATCTCCTTAAGGAAGAAGTGTCTTTATTTCATTTCCCTTATGCAGCTCATCCCAAAGAGAATTATCGTACTATAGGTTGATACCTTCAATTATTCACTAATGCTCAAACAGCATGCATTGCAACAAAGAACGCCCTCTAATCACTCCCCACAGCATGGTAACATCACTTCTGTGGAACATAATGGTTTCTCCTTTAGTGATAGGCTATGTGATATTACTGCCAACTCCATTAGGGATTTTTGTCCTTGTTGTACATAAAAAAATCCTTTTATTATTTTTTCTGGAGAGAGTGGTCCATTTGTACAATAAGTGGATGAATGCTTTTAAGCAGATTTTAAAAAGCTTAAAACAGTTGTTCCACATGAATATATGGTGTTTCTACCATTTGGTTCTGTGTTCTGAACTTCAACAATTTTTTTGCCTGTCATCAGGTTCCAGTGTTGATGGGCATTATAGATAAAGCTCCTGTTTTGCTCATGCTTTGCTCTTTTCCTGAGAGCAGTCTGTGGCTGCATTCCCACTGGGGAAAATGGCAGCCATTTACTCAGGGGCACGAGTACGAATGTTGAAATGCAGCCTATTTATAGAGACAATTTGAATGCTTTCAGTACTATTTTATAACTTTCACAAAACAGTAGCTGGTTTTTCTTTTAAAAAAATCAATAAGGCTTGGCAGCTAGAATGAAAGGTTGCATTTTAACACATGGGTAGATGCAATATTCAGGGGAATAAAAAGTGATGTGGGAACAACTGAGAGTTTCTGCTGGGCAAACAGGGCTTGGTAACAAATTGAATGCTTCATTTGGAAAACTCAGGATCGGTTCCACAGGTCTCGTTGAGATTCTAAAAATGATGTCAGCAGGTAAGAAAAACTAAAGAACTTGATAGCTAATGAAAACAGCAATATAATCTCAAATATGAGTCATTTCATGCTTTTGAAATGTGCTGCTTTCAGACATGCTGAAAAGTGTTCTTGGGTCAAGGGCACCCTGCTTTTGTTTTGTATTCATTGCTGCATGCGTGAGACCTGAGAACCAAACTAGGCACGACTCAGGAAATTCATGAATAGAATCTCCAACTTTTTAAACTTAACCCAGAAGGCATCTTCAGGGTGAGGATAATTCAGATTAAGATAATTACATGGCAAGAATTGATCAGTGACCCCCTTTTGAACATTTTAAAAGTGGGTTTCTTATTCACTAATCCCCTACACAACACCTAGTCTGGCTCTAAAAGGGGTCAAAAAGAGAATTAGAGTTTTTAAGAAGCAACAATACATTTGAGAATTTCAGAAAGAAGTTGAGAGAGGACAGTATGTTGGTTGGCCCCCCAGAAGAACTATAGCTCCCATCAACCCCAGCAAACATGGCCAGTGGCCAGTGATGATGGGGAGTGTAGTTCAACAACATCTGCAAGGCCAAAGGTTCCCACACCTAGCTTAAAGGAATAACAGAAAGGAATGAGAGGATGATAAACAGCAGCTATAGATTTCACAGAGGGGGAAATTGAGACAAGAGGGCCAAGTGATAGAATGAGGAGTGTTCTTAAAGAAAAATTAGGGGAAACAAATTAGTAGTAGTAGTAGTAATTTGTACCCCGCCCATCTGATTGGTTGGAGAATTTGTAGGAGTAAAAAATAAAACACATGGAAGAAATGCTGTTGGTAAAGTCTTGTGCAAAGCCTTGATGGGAGAAGTTCTGGGGGCAGGTTTGGTGAATTAAGGGTAGAAAAATTCCAGGTTTTCTGAGAAGAGGAGAGGGTTATACAAGAGAATATTGTTTTTTATGAGAGAAGGGAAAAGGAGAATATTCACAAATAGTCTGGATAACCATTACAAGAATATTATTTACATGACTGAGGTGTGATTTCTACAGCCTAGAAAGCAAATTTCCAAACCGAAATGAAGTTATCACATCGCAGAGGTAAGAGGGATAGCCCCTTCCCTTTGCCTTGCAAAAAGGGGGGGGGGGGTTAGATGTCCTCTTTTTTCAAGACATGTCTTCTTTTTCATGGGTAGAGTCAACATGGCGATCCATAGCTAAAAGTAGAAGTCGGCAAATGTGTCCTCTTTTTTCCCTCTTCAAAATATGGCAACCCTAAGTTAGAGAAGTATGTCTGACCCCATCATTGTTTGTTTTTAGATAAGCAGTGAAACTTTTATCACAGTTAGGCTTTCAGGGTACTCCTTTTTTAATTGGCTACTTCTTTTAATATTTCCCCATAACTTTACTATTCTATAATATTTTACAGTTTATAAGGCACATTGGCAATCTACAGGAGGGATATAAATGCTAGAAATTTTAAAAACTGAGTATTATTAAACCATCATATCACATTTTAATGTTATAGAATATTAAAATGTCCTCTAAATCAATATCTAATTCAAAAAGCAGAAGTTGTGATATCCATCTTACTCGTGTGGACAACGACACTGATCTTAGAAGTTGGAAAATTTACAAAGCTGTGATTTATTTTTATTTTTAGCTCATAGGCCAAGAAGGAATGTCTTAAAAGAGTCATCCTTGTAGACTGAGTTATTACACTTACACACACACACACACACACACACACACACACACACACACACACGTATTCAAACTGGTCCAACATAGCTTTGTTAGAAGCTTGGATTAAAGGAATTTACATCAGTCAGTTCACTATTTCTTGAAGCTCCTAACATCAGTTCAGAGACACTCATCTGGTTGTTTGTGGTGTACAAGAATCGCTTTAATGCGATTAGGCAGGGATGTTTTACAAAAGATAAGCTTTAGAAGGAAAAGCAGACATGTTTTGAGCCATTTCTAAAGAAAGAGGGGGAAAGTGACAAATACGTTCAAAAAGAGCATGCCAGGCATAAGTAAAAAGAGGAGAGGGAAATTTGTAATGTTTGATATGACAAGAGATCTTGCGCCTAACTACAAATTAAATTCATGATATGCCTAGGCTAGAACATAATATAATAGGAAGGTGAAGTTGAGCTAGACTTTTGAGAAATCTAAAAGTGGAAGCCAAAGATTTCTCAATTGAATGAAAGATGAAATTGTGGTTGTGTCCTTCTTAGCTTTGAGATGTAACCAACATTTGTTCTTGACTGAATGATGAGCCCAGGTTCAGATGACAGACTCAATCCAACAAACATCATCTGGAGGGCCATGTCTCTGGGTCCATTACTAGTTGGATGAATAAACTGAAATCTACCTAAACAGTTACAAGTGGATGAGTCATTGAGGCATAAAGTGACTGGCTTCTGACAGAATAGTAAAGGAATCGTTGGTATATTAGAAGTCATAGCACCATTTTATTTGCATGCATTTTCTATGCTGTTTTGCATTCTGTTGCAATAAATTTTGAAAGCATCTCTTTATGTTTGGCAATTGGTGAGCTTAGACAAGGCATCTGAGACCTGTTGTTGTTGTTGTTGTTGTTGAGTCGTTTACTCGTGTCCAACTCTTCATGACCCCATGGACCAGAGCATGCCAGGCACTCCTTTCTTCCACTGCCTCCCGCAGTTTGGTCAAACTCATGCTGGTAGCTTCAAGAACACTGTCCAACCATCTCGTTCTCTGTCGTCCCCTGGGAAAATAGTGCCCTCCATCTTTCCCAACATCAGGGTCTTTTCCAGGGAGTCTTCTCTTCTCATGAGGTGGCCAAAGTACTGGAGCCTCAGCTTCAGGATCTGTCCTTCCATACATTACTACTGGGAAAACCATGGCTTTAACTATATGGACCTTTGTCGGCAAGGTGATGTCTCTGCTTTTTAAGATGCTGTCTAGGTTTGTCATTGCTTTTCTCCCAAAATTTCGTGACTGCTGTCGCCATCTGCAGTGATCATGGAATCTTTTGTACTAGTGGCTAAAAAACAAAGTAAACTTTGTATTTCTTGTTTAGCTCCCACGCAAACAGATCTGGATGTGATTTCATATTTGTATGTTACTTTGGAATACATTCTGCTTTTCTCTAAATGGTTTCCTAACTTTTTCAGGTGCAGTGTTTTTAAAAGATAAGTCAGATATTAACTTCTTCTTAAAGTTGGAATTGCAGAATCAAAAGTGATTTAAGTATACAAGCAGCCACGTCCCCTTCCTAGTGCTTGCAGCATAACCCTGATGACTTTTCTTGTTTTGCAGGAGTCCAATGTGCTGATTGCTGCTAACAGTCAGGGTACAATTAAGGTAAGTTAGTCTATGCCACTCAATTAGTAGCCACAAGGTAACTGAAAATTGGAAAAGCCCATTTCTGGAGTTCCTCCTTACTCTCAAGTGTTTATAATGTGAAGTGATTTATTTGCATCTGCTGTAGGCTAGGGGTGTGGGAATAGAGTGAGCTTGGAGATCAAATATGCCGAAATAATGAAAAGGTGAGGAGTGTAACAGTGTCCAGAAGGCCATTTAGGGCTTCTCTGGAAGGTAATGAAACATGAGAAGACTGTTCCATTTTTTTATGGTCTCTGTGCAAGTTGCACATGAAGAATGCTGCACCAACACAGCTAAGAACTCTGGAGCTTAGAGTTCTGGAAATGTTCTAGATACTCCCAGTCCATCTAAGAAAATGATGATCTCACTCAGCAGCAGTACTTTGAACCTTGGCATCCCATTGCCTTGGTGAGCACTCTTGTGCCCTTTCTGGACTTGTTCGATCTCTTGTCTTTCCTCTTTCATTTAAATTGGAAACAAAAATTCAGAAGCTGACTCCATCTCTGTTACAGTGCATCTAGATAATTTGAATAATTGAGCTGGTTAGCTAGGTAAATTATAACACTAAAAGGAAATAGAGCTAAAAGCTAGGGTATTTCCCTGCTGATAATCTGTCTTTCTTCTGGCCAGCTACAAATCCCTAAAGTCGCTTTGGAAAAGAAGCTCAGAGCTTGAAAACAACCTTGAATGGGGTTGCTTTAAGTGCTCCCTTTTTCTTATTATTAAGCACCATTTAAATGATTCTTCTTTGAGTTTCTCCCTTTATAGTCCACAAGGCTGTCACATATTTGCTGTGCAAATCTGTACTGGGAGATGGTTATGCACCTTCAACTTGCTGGTTTGGAGTAATTATATTAAGCCTGAAGTCAGTACAGATGTTGGTGGGAGAATTGCTTGTGAGCTTACCACCTGTCATTTCTAACATTCTTTAAAGGGAACCTTTGAAAGACTGAGATTGTAACATTCTACCCTATGTGCATTTTGTACTTAGAAACACTCTACCTTGTGCCAAAGGTTCCTTAAGCAATACCTTCATAGATTGCAGTACTAAATGACATGAGAATGAAAGGGACTAGACCAGGGATCACCAACCTATGGACGGGGGGCCGGATAAGGCCTGAGGGACTCGTTTATCCGGCTTGCAGTGACTCCCGCCACTGGCTCATACCGGTGCGGCGCGGGGACCCACTTCCAGGTCGGAGGAGCACCGTAAAAAGCGTGTGCGCATGCTCACGGGCCTCCTCCGACCCGGATGTGCACTGGAAATAGTGTTTGCACACGTGCCCATTGCGCAATCGTCGCTGGAGACACCAGCCCAAGGCAAGGAAAGCTTGGAGACCCCTGGACCAGACCACTTTCAAGGGCCACATTAGACAAGGGCCACCTTTGTCTCTTTTCTATTCCTCGATAAAACAGGATGGGGATTCATGTGCAATCTTTTTATGAAACAAGGAAATGAGCCAACAGACCTCACTTCATCGCTTCAGGCTCTTTTTCTTCTAGCCTAGCTCACTTGTGGTATCGGGAGCTAGGCTAGAGGAAAGAGAAGTTTGGGTGAATAATCATGTGGTATGGGGGTCTACCTAAGTTCATCTATTTTATCTGTGTCTTGTTAATAAAAATTGATTTTCTTCCTGCCTCCCACTTAATGCATGCAGCCATGTAAGCAACAAATATGGTTGCCTGCACCACCTCAAATATGGCCCTAAGCTAGAAGGTTGTTTGTGAATAAGGAAATAAAATGGTGTCTGCTTTTCCCTTATTAATTGTTTTCTGCTTTTCTTTTAACCAGGTACTGGAGCTAGTATGAAAGATGTTCTCTCTCAAGGCTTTGAATACTTGATCCTGCTTTCATCGGGGATTCTCAGTGGGGCACAAAACCGAAGCTAACCTGCTCTTCCTTCTCAGAGTGATCACATTTTGGGGGGTTTGTTTTCACGTATGGGACACTCTTAGGACACTGTGGGAATCTGGGAAGCACCTGGGAATTCAGTACCACCACCATTAACTCCACAGACTTTGCTGCTGCTGGTTCTATTGCTTGTCTAATTTTTATGATGGGGGAGGGAGACGTGGGTTATTTTAAATAAAAGTGGATGCTGAAAAATGAATAGTCAAAGTTCATTGAGCCACACATAGAAGCAGATGGCCCTCTGATGATAGACATGGTGACAGGTTTGCCCTTGTACCAGGTTTTTTTCAAGGGCTGTGCTTTGGAGCCACCTTCTGGATCACCACGTCTGTCCTTTTTTCTCTTCTCCCCCACTCCCCATTCCCACGAAGCGGGGAAACATCTGTTATCCTGACATGTGTCTTCCTAATTTGAGGCCATCAAGTAAAATTTGGTTTAGTTGCTTTTGTTTTTGAAATGATTTCTGAGTTCGGGCAAGTTTACTTTTTCCAAACGCTGAAGCCTACCAGAGCAGTCTGTTTAACAAACATTAATTCCTCTATCCTGATGCGAGGGGACCACTTCTAAGGCCACGCAAGCAGCTCAGTCTTCAAGCCCACCTGCTGCATGGCCACTTATCTGGACTGCCAGCTAAGTCAGGGTGCCATCAGTGAAGTGGGCATGTGTTGCCTGGGAGCAGAGTTGGCACCATTATCTCCTTGACAGGCCACCAAACTTGTCAATAATGACTTTCTGTCCCTTCTGATCTGAATTATATTGAAATTCTTTAACTGGAGGTGAAAGGCCACAAAGCCTGTCCACATACGGTCCAGTTTGTTCAACCCCTCCCTGCCACTAAACACCCCATCCCCCATTTGTGTCACTTGTAGAAGCCAAGCATTTTGAATGTTGTAATATATTTTGGGGACAGGCTATGGTAGCCTTATTTTTTAATAACCATGCATACACTTAATTGTACAAGTGAAGAGAATGGGGAAATAAACTGTGATTTCAAATGTTCCATATTGTTAATTTGTCAGCCAAAAAAATGAAGGCTTGTTTGTTTGGGGAGGGTGGGGGGGTGGCATTTCAGAAGACTTCACACCCCTAAAAATAGGGCTACATTGTTTTATAGTTGAATTAATTAAATAGTTGGCTTAATCAGAAACAAAAATTTTAAAGGGTGATTTCAGTTAATTGGGTAGCAGATTTTTCCAAACAATCTTTTTCATGTAAGCGCGCGCGCACACACACACACACACTGCAGATGGCAAACATGAAAAGAAGCATTCACCTTTTCTCTCACATTGGATGGAATAAATCACACCAAGCCATGTGTGTATTCCCTGAAAAAAAGAAAAATATGCTTCTTGCTTCAGAAATGGAAAATTAATTGACCAAAACACATGATTACCAATTTTATTTCCAGTTTCTTTAGCTGGATTGCAGTTCTAGTGAAAAGCGCATGGCAACATGTGGACAGCATGCTGTGCTGAAATTTCATTTCCTGGCCAGGCCTGGTTTTAAATGGAATCCAGAGAACCCCAACTTTCATTAAAAATAAATGGGCTTTTTCTCATAGTTACAGCAGAAGAGAGTTTTCTACATGTGATTTTCCACGCCATCCACCCACCCTTACTCAGAGGAAGAGAAGGCCACCTTCACATTACAATATTGACCTGTCTTTCTGGAGCTAGAGGAGGAGTTCCGTTTGGAATAAATAACTTCACATGATGTTACAGAAGTTCAACATGTCTTCCAGCATTTCTTTGGTATTTGTCACATACATGAAGGCATTATTTCCATGTAAATCACATTCTAAAATTTTTTGCTTACGAATAGCTGATTCAGTTTTTTCTCTTCAACCATGTTAACTTTTTTTAAAAACGAAAGCATCAGTTTTTATAATTCTGATAAAAAAAATATCCGGGAGCGGAATCTAGGGTGCTATGTTGATGGTACTGCCATAGCCATCTTGACTGGACTATTGCAGCCTTGCAAAATGTGATTACATACCTGTGACACTACTCCCTTCTGTTGTTGCCATCAGTCACTTGGGGGGGGTGGCACCCCCAGTTGTCAACCCACTGCTTTTTCAATCTCTCTAGACATAGCAACATGGGAGAATCTCTGGCTGCCACTCCAAAGAGTTGGAAGAAGTGAAAGATTAACCAAGGACAGACAACACTACGGTAGTCTTTCCAACTGAAAGAGTGCTATCATTTATTTATTTTGTTACATTTATATACTCCCTTCCTCCAAGGAGCCCAAGGGGTGGTGTACAGGGTTTTCTCCCCATTTCGCCCTCAAAAAAACCCTGTAAGACAAGTTAGACTGAGAGTCTGTGATTGGCCCAAGGTTATCCAGCTTCATGGCTGAGTGGGGATTTGAACATGATTCATCCTGGTCCGGTACACTAACCACTATTCCCCTTAGTTGGTCTTTAAGGTGCTACTGGAAGGAATTTTTTTTGTTTTCACTATTCCCCTGTGCATGGTGCAGTAATGATAATGGAGCAGGTAGTAGAGGAGAGGGCAGTCGCCAAATGAGAGAGGGACAGCAGCAATTAGATCTCATTTGAATATTCACTTATTCCTCATCACCCAACAATGATACTTAGCTGCAGTGTTCATAGCTTCCAGACTGGGACACGGATTAGATAGGTTACCGATGCTCTTGTTTTGAACATGTGCCACGGAATGAATGAAAATTGCTTGTCTTTTTTATGCTTTTGCTCCCCCACACCTTATGAGGAAAGATGATTCTCAAGAGCACCTTAACCCAGATGACATTTAACACCCTCTGCATTTCTCAGTTTTTCTGGATTTAAGTATGAGGTGTGACCATCCATTTATGAACTTGAAATTAAGAAATACATTTAGATGATCAGCAAAGGAAAGCCCGTTCACAAGGAAGAAATTCTAATTTCAGAGTTGCCTTCAAGGTTCAATTAGCCAAGCAATGGGTGTCAGTCTGGAAGGAAACATCTCATTCTTACACTGTTTCTCCATGGTAGTGCTTTGAAATGGCACCAGATTTCAGAATATTCTAGCATATTGATTCCAACAGTCTGGAAAATGTGGATGATCGGTGCATCAGACATCTTGTAATCTGAAAACCACCAGCTTTATAGACTGAGTTTCAGAATAGTAAATACCAATTACTCGTTAAAGCACTCATGTGGATATTCAAGAAAACTTCACCAAGCATAAATTCTGCCATCTGCTGTATGATATTAGGTAAAGGGAAAGGGACCCCTGACCATTAGGTCCAGTCGTGACCGACTCTGGGGTTGCGGCGCTCACCTCGCTTTATTGGCCGAGGGAGCCAGTGTTTGTCTGCAGATAGCTTCCGAGTCATGTGGCCAGCATGACTAAACCGCTTCTTGTGAACTAGAGCAGTGCACGGAAACACTGTTTACCTCCCCTCCGGAGCGGTACCTATTTATCTACTTGCACTCTGACGTGCTTTCGAACTGCTAGGTTGGCAGGCGCTGGGACTAAGCAACCGGAGGTCACCCCGTTGCAGGAATTCAAACCGCCGACCTTCTGATCGGCAAGTCCTAGGCTCTGTGGTTTAACCCACAGCGCCACCCGTGTCCCTTGCTGTATGGTACTAGCACTCAGCAAAATAGCAATTCAAATCTTTCAGTTTTTTGCCACCTTTTGTGACTTTTCTCACCTCTCTCTTTTTCTCCTTCATGACTTTACATGCCAGCCTTAAGCCTTCTTCAATGGACAAAGCAGTCTCAATGTGGAGACTTGACCGCCGTTGCTCTGCTCCAGTTTTCTGCAACTTATTTTTGCCAAAGTGCTTCTATCCTTCCTATTTTTCCTCAACAAGCTATCCACTGGGAGCAAAACAATGTGTGCTTCATGGCTTTCATAGTAGTAAATTTCCATGCGTGTGTGTGATAAGCTCGTAATTGTTTCTGCAGCTCTGCAACATCTTTGTCTTTGCACCGCCAGTGTCTTATTTAATTCTCAATTACTCTAACAAAACAGATACTGGAATAAGAGGCAAGCTATAGAGTGTGTTCTGAGGAAGCTCCTCAAATTAAAATTAAATGGGAAGCTGCTTTAATTTCTAATACATTTCTGTTCTCTGTCAAGCTACATGCAAATTTCAGTGTCTGGCTGTAATTAGAAGTGCAGCACTCCCTGAGCAAAGTGACAACTTTTTCTTTTAAGAAGTGGCAAGTCCTTCATCTCCATTCCCTTTTAATTTCCTTTCCTTTTAGGTAAAATCAATGTAAAATCAAACCACCCCAATCTCTGAGAGATGCAAGATTCCAGGGGTCCCAGGCACTTTCCCAGGGTTTGGTTTCCTTGGAATGAGGGACAGCAGAGATTCAGGTGTCTTTATGATCTGTGGTTTATTTGCACATAGCCTATGATGGAAGAGCTCACAGCCCTAACACCCCAAGGAGGTCTTGCTTCTCCCATAGCCACAACCTTGGATTCCAGCAGAAACCAAGATGTCCCTCACAGGTTTCAGCCTGACACCTGCTTCAGGCACACACCTCAAACCTGGCTTTTGGTTCTTCTAACTACCAGCCAGTTGAGGGAGGGGAGTCCACCCATTTCTTCTCTGGCACAGAGAAACTTCCTTTGTTACTTTAACAATCCATACTTAGGCCATTACCAAGACACTGGCCTGACTAGTCCAGCAATTGAATTGGAAGGGACTGGGACATACAGCCTAATCTCTAATCCCCAACACTCACAACACTGTTATGTCACTTAAAATCATTCATTAATGCATAAGTTGTGTGATCAAATTCTCTACTTCCTCTGTGGTTACAGGTGGCCAGTGAGGTAAAACCTCTGGTTGAACGCTTGGCTTGTTAAACTGAGCTTCCTTATCATAATGCAGTTTTTGTGATAGCTTAAGGTGAGAGTTCTTTTAAGTCCCTGTTTTGTCTCATGATTGTCTCTCTGAGTAGCATCAGTTTTCTCTCATTTATTTAGGTGCTGGTCCTCAGCTTGCTCTGTGTTTAAAGTTCACAATTTTTATAAGGTGGCTTTAGGTGGCTTTCATTCTACTAGTGGTGCTGAACAGCCTGAGAGTGAGTTGTCCTTTCAATTTAAAACACAGCTGCATCAACTATTTTATTGCAAAAATCCACTTTAAAAGCAGCATGTCTGTAGAACAAGCTACAAAACTACCTGCATTCAGCAGCCTTCTGTTCCCAGCTTTGCATTACCATGTTTCTTCTTTGCCCTCTAATTTGCTTACATGGCTGTAAAATCAGATTAGTTATGATGAGCCATGTGATTCTGTAACATGAAGAGGTAGCATTGTAACATCGCCAAAATTACATGGACCACCACCAGGGTGGAATTGATTTAAATCACTAGTCAGTAAGATTTGATTTAAATCATTTTTTTTACATAAAGACTCATTCTTGCTGGTATAATCTTAATATTTACAACCAGATTAAGATTTCATTTTTGGAATAATAAAATCAATAATAAATTTTCAGAGTAGTTTTTACAGTTAATTAACTGATTTGGTTATACTATTAGAAATACGTAGACAGATAATTATGAAATTATTGTGAGGTTTAATAAGTTAACCGTTTATATTTGGACAACTTTTCTGCTGCACTTTATTGGAAGGAGAAAAACAATCATTTCCTTAATAAGAATTTAAACAATTTATTTAACTAAAACAATAACATTATAGCGTATCATTGGTTTTTATCCATCCTGACCACCACAGTCAATTCAATAAACTGCAAGAAGAAAAAGAAGGTGGAGCCAAGAAGAGTCTTCATGTCATGACTGATTTCTGGATCAGAACAATACTCTCCCCAGGTCTCCCCAAGTCACTTTTGATAGGTAGCTGGGGGTCATCTACCTGCCATCAGGTGATTCAGACTTCAAAAGAATGTGCCTCAACCTTCCTCCTTGTGCATCCCAGGTTTGCACTTGGTGCCAACTGCAAGCTGCACTCTTGGCAGGGATCAGCCCTCCATCAGAATTAGGACTAGTATGCCTGGGGAAGAAAGGGCTCAG